CCCCCCCGCCCCCGTCGGCCGCCGGGGCCTGCATTGGAAGGAGCGAGGAGGGAAAGGCGGAACGCCGTCCAGCGCCCGCCCGCAAGCAGACGGCGTCTCGTGGGAACGCAGGCCTGGGGCTGGCAGGCCCGGGGCGAACTTTCTTTTTGTGCCTTTTACTACAGTCGGGGCGTTGACCCAAGGAACCCGAAATAAGGAACGAGGCCCCTCTTTCCCATAAGTTGAACTTCGATTTCCCATGGAAAACCCAACGCAAACTGTAAAACAATCAAGGAACACCGAACCCCTCGCCAACGAGAAGGGTTCCTTCTTCAGCGCCCCGACTGTAAGGCCTCCGGAAAGGAGCAGGCCTGCCACGTTGCGAGGCAAGCGAGCTTCTCGCAAGCCGCGCGCAGCGAGCCACGCCAGGGCCAGGCAAACCGCGCTGCCGCCGCGGGACCTTTCCGATGCAGATTTTTCCGCACTGCAGTTTGCCCTCCTGCAGCATTTTTGCGGGACATCCGAAAATCTGCAGTGCCGATTTATTTTCTGCATTGCAGTTTTTGCTTCTTGCACGTGCGGGTTCGTCCGGCCACGAACCGCCCCTGTGGGTTATTGGGCACGGCGTGGAAGTCACGTTGAACATCTGGGCTGGGCGCGTGACAGGGCCATTGAGAGCCAGGGCTGGCGCGCCCGAAGCAGCGGCAAAATGCAAGGCCCCAGCCCCCGGTCTGCCGACCCCCGGTCAAAGGGGCCCCGACGGCGAAGTGGGGCGGGGGGCCAGGGCAAGAAAGAATGGCTCGCAAGAGGGAAGAGAAGGAGAGGAACGAACGCGCTGCAACGCACCGCCGCGCGGCTGCAGCGCGTCGCGAAGTGGGCGGGCGCCCGGCGCGCCCGAGGCGCAGCGCGGACCAACCCGCCGAACGCGAAGCCTAGAGAACGAACCGCCGCTAACTGCAGCGCGCCCCGACTACCACAAACGACCCGCCAAATCCGCGCGGCACCGATGAAGCGGAAAAACAGCAGAGAGCGCACGGGGGAAAGGAGGACCCGAACAACAAACTGGAAAACGCAAGAGAAGAAGAGGAGGAATATACTCGGAAAGGGAGCAGACTGCACGAGTCAGACCCTTTCCCGCGCACAGGTAGCTAGCGCCCTTGTCGCAGGAGCTCGGGGCGCGGCGGCGGGGGCGACGCCTGCGCGTGGCGCGCGGCGCGCGCGGGGCGCGGGAGCTGCCTCTGCCGCACAGGCCGCGGGAGACGCCGGGGCCGCAAAATCCACGCGGGCCGCGGGCTCCGCACGGGGCGCGGGGGCGGGGGGCCGCGTCGGACCAACGAGGCCGCGCCGGCCGCGCGGAGCGCACGGGCGCCCCCTGCGGATGGCGGGGCAAGGCCGCGCGGGCAGCGCGAGGCGCGCGGGCCGCGGGCGATGCGCGCGCGCCGCGCGGCCGCCTGCGCCGCCCAGGCGGCAGGAACTGCGCGACCTGCGCGGCGGCTGATCTTTGCGCAGCGCCAGGCAAACGCTGGCAAACAGTTTCGTGCCTCAGTAGGCCCAGGGAACCTCACGTCGCGCGCCCGCTCGGGGAACCGGCCCCCGCCGCCGCGCACTCGGGCGAGAGCCGCGCCGACCGAACCAACCAATCACCCAATCATCAAACACAACGGCATTACTTGAGACGTCCTCGGAACGCGGGCGCGAGGTTTGAAGGAGAAGCAGTGCACATTGCAAATGTATGTTGTCGCTCGACAGCGACGGTGGCAAAGCCCAAGGCGACCAACCAACGCGCCCGCGCAGCCAAACGTCTCGGCGCCGTCGCTCGCGAGTTCCTCGCAACCTTGGCGCCAGAGCAGATGGCAGCGCGCGCGTCCAGCGATGTCGAAAGGCAAGGCAAAGTTGGCGAGGAGGGAGGCGAGGGAACGGGCGAACCAGGAAGAGGAGCAGCAAACTGCACCCCCCCGCAAGGCAAGGGCGCAGCGCCAGGCCCCCCGCCCCAGTCGGCCGCCGAAGCCTGGCTCGGACACCTCCAGACTGGGCTCGGAGCGCTGTCGGCGCCGCCGCGGCGGAGGCGGGGGGAGGGAAAGAGGGGGCGCCATCCCACGCGCATCCGCCGACAGAAAGCGGAGGGGAACGAGGCAGAAAGGAAGGGCGCGAGGAGGGGGAGGGAAAGGGGCGCGCTGCAGCGCGCCCCCGCGCGGCTGCCGCACACTGCCAACGGGAGCAGCGAGAGCTGCGCCCGGGGACGCAGCAGACGCCAAGCCGCCGCAGACGAGGCCCGGCGGACGAAACGCCGTTGACTGCAGCGCGCCCCGAAGCCCAAGTGGCCAGCCAAATCTGCGCGGCATCAGAAACAATCTGTGGAAGCAAAGAGGAGTAAGAGGGAAGAGGATGCAGGAGGCGTGGCGTCTGGGGATCGCAAGGGGGGGAGGGGGGAGGAGGAGGAGGAGGAGGAGGAGGAGGAGGAGGAGGAGGAGGAGGAGGAGGAGGAGGAGGAGGAGGAGGAGGAGGAGGAGGAGGAGGAGGAGGAGAGGGAGGAGGAAGAGACTCAGACGGGCATGGACTGCACGGGCCAAATGTCCGCGGAGGTAGAGCCCTTATGCTGCGCAGGCGAGGGTCGGAAACGTGCTTCGACACGAGAGATCACCATGCACGCAACGGTGACATCCTCCTCCTCCTCCTTCTCCTGCTCCTCCTTCTCCGGATCCCCATCGCCCGCGCTACTTTTCATTGACCAAATAACGCACAGGTGTCCTTGATATTCCTTGTCTACGAGCGTCGGAGCGAGAGGGGGTATTTAAGAGACTGCGTGGGCCGAAACATCCTCGCAACATGAACGCGACAGCGCCCGTGATGCACCCCCTAGCGCCCCCTCCTCCTCCTCCCTCCTCCTCCTCCTCCTCCTCCTCCACCTCCTCCTCCTCCTCCTCCTCCTCCTCCTCCTCCTCCTCCTCCTCCACCTCCTCCTCCTCCTCCTCCTCCTCCTCCTCCTCCTCCTCCTCCTCCTCCTCCTCTCCTCCTCCTCCTCCTCCTCCTCCTCTCCTCCTCCTCCTCCTCCTCCTCCTCCTCCTCCTCCTCCTCCCTCCTCCTCCTCCTCCTCCTCCTCCTCCTCCTCCTCCTCCTCCCTCCTCCTCCTCCTCCTCCTCCTCCTCCCTCCTCCTCCTCCTCCCTCCTCCTCCCTCCTCCTCCCTCCTCCTCCCTCCTCCCTCCTCCCTCCTCCTCCTCCTCCTCCTCCTCCTCCTCCTCCTCCCTCCTCCTCCTCCTCCTCCTCCTCCTCCTCCTCCTCCTCCTCCTCCTCCTCCTCCTCCTCCTCCTCCTCCTCCTCCTCCTCCCCCCTCCCCCCCTTGCGATCCCCAGACGCCACGCCTCCTGCATCACACGGCGACCGGGCCACCCTGAACAATCATCAACACAGTCGAAACAGAGAAGCCAGAGTGCTGCTCGAGGCCTCCCCACAAGCTGGGCGCCAACGGGCGTCTTACCCGCCATCACAATCGCAGTTATCACGCAGCCCTGAACAGAGACCCGCTTACCCATCGGTCGGAAGAAGTGGGTAGAAACATGAAGTAGGAAGGCGTTGGAAATAGATCGGGTTTCCGCCCCGCCTCCTGAAGAGGAGGGAAGAGGGAAAACCACTCGACTCTTGAAGTAGGAAGGCGCTGAAAGTAGATTGGAATCTGGGAATCCAAAAACACCTACTTTCAACGACCGAGGGGTACCTCTCAGCATCCAGCGCGTCGAGTGATCTGTCCCCACTATCTGGGCACTCACGCGCAGGAGTCCTGCCCCCCTGGCGGCTGGCTCTTGTAGTGCCCACGTCGTATCTCTCTGCCACGTCGTCGCGGCGACTGCACGGCCCTAAACAGAGACGCGCCGATACCCCCAGAACAGACATCTCAGCTGACATATCCCCACAATCTGGGTGCGAAGGATTGCAAAAAACGAGGGACTGCAAAACGAAGGATTGCAACAAAAACGAAGGATTGCAAAACGAAGGTTTTTTTGCAATCAATCTGGGTGCGAACGCACCCGTGCTGTACCCCTTGACACCTCCCCCCTGTGGCGCCCAAGCGAGATGACTGCCAGACCGCGATTGCCACGGCCTGAAAACACATGTCCAACTTCCAAGAGCCACCTGTTCGCAGGGGACGTCCCCACAAATCTGGGCGCCAACGGGCAAATGTCCGACCTTCTGACGCCCTCCCTCCCTCTCTGGGGTGCCCAAGCGTATCGCTCCCGGCACACTCTTGTGGAACCGATAATACAAGAAACCACAACGATAACAGACAAGTCTTCAAATGAAACCACCTCTCAAAATTAGAACAACGCATCGATCAAATCGGTTACCCGCCACTCATAAAATCTTGACAACGGGCGAAACTGAGAGATTTAACCGCAAGCCGCGAAAATCAGCCGACCCCGTGTGTGAGACGCTGTCGTCGTCTTCGTCGTCGTCGTCGTCGTCGCCAGTCCTCAGTCCCGCCTCTTAGGCCATCTTGGGGCGATCTCCAGGGCCTCTTGGGACGTCTTGGGCGCTGGTAAGACCAAACAACGAATATGCTAAAAATATACGGCTTCCTGAAAGAATGGTACGATCCTCGCCTCTTGAAGCCGTCTTGGGGATCCTCTTGGAGCCGTCTTGGGGCGCCGTGGGCCGTCTTGGACTCCCTTGGAACAAACTCTGAGGGGGCCCGGAGGGACTCCGCGGAAGCTCCGGGGAGGCTCAGGGGAGACCCCGGGAGGGGAAGGTGGCCCTAGGTGATTCTGGGTGACACTTGGTGTGCTGCAGCCCTGGGGCATCCCAGGCGTGGGTCTCCGATTTACGAAGAACTAAAATCACGCGCGTGCTGCGCGCGCGCGCTTCGGTTCCAGCAAGAGGTGGCGACGGTCTAGGGTTCGCAGCACCAGAGCGCAGGAAGACTTGTATCAATCACGATGAATCAGCAGATCGTACCCTCCCTCTTTGTCCCCGCGGATGCATGCTATGAGCCCCAATCGACCTTAATCCTGCATTCTCCTCTCAGCAAGCCCTTTACTCCTTCTCCTTTCCACCCCGTTTTGGCGGACCAATGGAGTCACATTCCACGCGGCAAAGGAGCTGTTGCGGGCGCGGTGGACGAGTTCCACTCGGCATGCAACGCGACAAAGTAGATTCGCTGTCGACGCAGTGGATGTGTTCCACTCGGCGTGCAACAATGAAAAATACAGCTGGCCGCAGGTCTAAAAAGGATTCCGCAGGATCCCACTTCAGCTGGCTACATACCCTTTTTTGTGTCCATTTCCAGAGGGGCGCCTCGAGAAAACAACGCACACACGCACAGCAGCAGCTCGTGTGTCCACCGGGGGGGGGGCGGGCCCCAGTGCTTAGTCCACCCGCTTGAAGCAGCCGCTGAAAGCAGCCAGGATCTGGTCTTTGGAAAGGGGGGGCGGCGGGGGCCCGCGCCGATCGGCCAAGCAAGACATGCAACAGAGCTACCTCTCAAGACGGCTCAATGGGCCCGATTTCGGCACGACCCTCACGCATTCTACGCCTACCCAAGGCCTAGGCGACCTAGAGCGCCCAAGGCCCACCTGGAGCAAACCCAACGCCAACTGCCCAATGCCTGCCCCCGAACCCCCAGGTCTGCCCCCCGACGTCCTGTCCAATGCCTACCTCAGGCCTACCAGGCGGCCTTTCAAGAGCTGATACATGGCCTACCCAGAGCCCAGTGAAGGCTCACCCACGACCTCGCCAAGGTTAAACAAAGATTTGTCCAAGACCTACACAAGTCATACGTCTGGCCAACCACATGCGAGCATTATAACGAATGTGAACACCCAAATGCGCGCGACAAACGTGCCCGCGCTCGTCTTACAACCGCCACGAACATCTTGACAACGATGAGCTGTCATGAAGGGTTCTACGGTGTGCCCACCGTCGTCATGCAACCGCCGCGCAAAGTTTGACAACGCTGGGCTGCCCTAAAGGATTGAACGGCACTTGACAAAAAAACATCGACAACGAAATCTTCGATCCGACGGTCACCCCAGTACCGCGGCGACTGCTGGGACTGATCCAAGTGTTCGCTTTCTTCGTGGCGGCCCTGAAAGAAAAACACGCCCACCTCAAAAAGCCAGCGTCTCGCGTGAGATATCCCCGAATGCTGGGCGCCAACGGGCAAGTGTCCTACACCGTGGTCGCTCCCCATTCTGCGCCCAACAGCGCTTATTGCGACATCGCGAACACCACGCGGCCCTGAGAAAGACGCGCCTACATCCGCGAAACAAGCGAATCGCTGGAGACATCCCCACAATCTGGGCACGAACCGGTAAGTGACCGATCCCCTGGCGGCACCCCCGTGTGCTGCCCAACTGATACGCGTGTCACATATTTGATGATTCTGATTGTGATACGGAGAATGAAGGAAAAAAGGGGAAGGAGGAGGAGGAGGAGGCGGAGGAGGAGGAGGGAATGAATAGACGGAGGCGCGACACGGATAACAAGAATTCGAGACGCAGGGGATGGGACAACATACCGCAACACACTCCACGAGACGCGCAACTGCCTGCATAATGATCCGTTATCACCGTCGGACCCTTGCTCCACACGCGTTCGACGGAAACTGGCGGCAATCAAACTGGCCCAATCTGCCAGGACACCCCCGCTTGGAGTTTGACTTTCGTCAAATGTGTGTTTGATTCGCCCATGTCGTCCAGCCCCCCGTCTGAACCAAAACAACCGGTTTCTGCCGAGACATCCTCACGATTCGCTGTTAAACTGGCCACGACGTGCAAGTGACGCTAGCGGTGTGTTGCCAGCGCCGAAGCGAGAGCGCCGTTTGGACGGACCTATGGCCATTGTACGGAAGTTCGGCCCGCGTAGAACCATCTGACCAACAAACAATACAACATGCACCTCGCGGCTAAATCTGGATCATGCACGGCCATCCGCGATCACTGTCAAGTGGTTTTTGACAGGGACGGCGGAGGTGGTGGTGCATGGCCTGCTGTGCGCAGGCCCACCAGACTAAATGGTGGGCATCGGTGTTCGACAAGGATGGCGGGGGCCGACATGTTTCCCGATGTGTGCTGTCGCGTGCGCCAGAGCACCTGACACACTCTGCACGTGCCCCGAACGCGGCGCACCTGGCGCGGCTGGAGTGTGCGGCACAACCTGGCGCACTCGGAGCACGTGGCGCATCTGGCGTACCAGGCGTGGACCATTTCTGCATATTCCTCCTGTAGAGGGAGAAGCCCGCCTTCATCCTTGATAGAAATACCGCCCCCCCGGGGGTCCAGGCGGGTTCCCAGCGGGGATCCCCGGGGAGGTCCCGCCTGCGGGGTCGGAGGCGCAGGCCGTCAGACCCTCACAAGAAAGGTTGGTCCTTGAACGGGCCTTCACTGACGAACGCTTCAAAAGAAAATCCTTAGGATGGATACCATACTTCAAGCATCAGAACGCTCAATAAGGCATCATTTCCGGGAAGCTTACAGAAAGCACCTTTACCGAGGCATCCTTCCTACAAGGATCCTTACGGAGGGAATCCGTACTGCAAGCAACCTTCCTAAGGGCTCCGGAGCACAAGGATCCTTGCTAAGGGCTCCTTACGAAATAGGACCGTACTCGGGTTTCCTCACCAAAGGAATATGTATTAAGGATCCCCCCACACTTATGGCGTCAGTACGGAGTAATCCTTAGTAGACTCCCGTATAGCGGGCGCGTTATTTCAAGATCGCTTATAACAAGTAACCTTACCAAGAAATTAAGGTAGCCCTACTAAAGAAACCCTTACTGAGGGAACCCTTACTGAAAGGATCCTTGCTGGGGAACGTTTACTGAAAACGTAATTTCAAGGGAATCCTTACCAGAGGTATATTTACCAAGGGATCCTGCATGAGACAGGGCATCCTTACTCAGAAGTCCTTTCAGGGGGCGCCTGTTTTATGCATGATCCCTTCTCCAGAGGGATCCACGCTAAGGACCCCTCACCAAAACCTATCGCCTGGAGTAATTTTCATGAGGAAGTTGGAAGCCGTAGCTCTCGACACCGAGGGTCTGCTTGCCAGCCGTGTACCCGACAGGAAAAGCATAGGCTGAACGAGGCATGCCCATTGGCACGCCCGCAAGCATTAATAAATTTACAAGCTGGCACTTGCACGCTGCTTATGGCCATGGAGACGGCGAGAAAGAGAGAGGGAGGGGGAGGAGAGGAGGGGATAAGAGGAGCTGGGGTCTGCACGATAGAAGAAGAACGTGCCATCATGAAGGGATGCCATGCCAGCAATCAACGACAGCTGCGGTGCAAGTGTGTTAACAAATACCGAATACGATTGCTCACACAATTCGACACAAGCTGATCGTTGGTGATGCTCACACAGATGCATTTGATGCTCACACAATGTTTCGAACAAGGCGCCCCCCAGGATGGTGAACAGCAAGTTGCTCATGAGGGGCCAAAACGGGGCCGTTTTCTCACCCAGCGGTTTACGGTCTTCTAGCCCTTCGACTGCCCACAGCTTCCGAGCTTCAAGCCGAGTAAGGCACGGACGAGTGATGCAGGAAAATGCGTACCTTCCCATCGTCGCAGCGCTTGTAACCGAAGGTGTACTCGACAGTCGACACGTCCCCTGTGGTGGCACAGGTGAAGTCGTAGGTTCCCATGGCAATGCCAATGCCCCCCTTGAGTTCGATCTGGTGATTCTTGTACACGCAATCTGAAAAGCCCTTGCCACCGTTGATCGCAAAACCACCGTCCTCCTCATAACCGTTCTCGACCGCGTTGTTGCCCACAAAGTAGGACATCGCCTCCTCGGCCGTGGGCCTGAACGGGTACTCGCGAGCTTTCGTCGGCTTGAAGAGCACGTTACCTTTGCCGTACGCGTAGAGCTCCCCAGCTGCCTCGGCAGCTGCCTGAACATAGTCGCCTTTGTCTTTGTAAACCTTCGAGATATTTTTTATGGCGCCAGCCCACGCTGTTTGCACAGCGATGACTTCCTCCTCGGTGACTGGTGCCGGTGCAGCGCTGAACGGCACAGACGAATGGTGCAGGAAAATGCGTACCTTCCCATCGTCGCAGCGCTTGTAGCCAAAGGTGTACTCGACAGTGCTCACGTCCCCGGTGGTGGCGCAGGTGAAGTCGTAGGTGCCCATGGCAATGGCAATACCACCGATAGGTTCGATCATGTGGTTGCTGTACACGCAATCCGCCCAGCCCTTGCCACCGTTGATCGCGAAGCCGCCGTCCTCCTTATAACCGTTCTCGACCGCGCCTTCACCAACAAAATAGGACATCGCCTCCTCGGCCGTAGGCCTGAACGTATACTCGCGGGCTTTCGTCGGCTTGAAAAGCACGTTGCCTTTACCGTACGCGTAGAGCTCCCCGGCTGCATCCGCCGCCGCCTTGGCGGGTCTCGGCCGAAAAACGATGTCCTTGCCAGCGTGGCCCTCCCACAGTGGGCTCTTGCACTCTGGATGTGCAAGCTACGTAGTGCAAGCTATGCCGATCCAGCGATCTGGTGCAAAAGACGTGTGGTGCAAGCGACGATGCGCATGCTTTGTGGTGCAAGCTGTGTGGTGCAGTCTGTGGTGCGAGATGCATGGTGCAAACTATGTGAGGCAAACTATGTCATGAAAGCTGTGTAGCAGAAGCTCGGTGGTGTAAGCTATGAGGTGCAATACATGTGGTGCAAACTATGTGGTGTCATCGAATAGTAGGCAAAACTCGGCAGGGCCGCGTCGGACCGAATCGGAAATCGAATCGCGTCGAGCCAGGTCGGAACCGAAATCGGCGGGGCCACCTTCGGGGGAGGAGGAGCAGGAGGAGGAGGAGGAGGAGGAGGGAGGGGGCGCGTGCCTCAACTTCGCGCCCGCGCGCTGTCTCGCGCCGCCCCCCCTTGAGGGCCAACTCAGACCGCAGCGCGCGAGACAACGGCAGGCCTCCTCCCTCCTCCCTCCTCCTCCTCCTCCTCCTCCTGCTTCTGCTCCTCCTCCTCCTGCTCCTCCTCCTCTTCCTCCTCCTCCTCCTCCGTCTCCTCCTCCTCTCCTCCT